CTCATTCGGATATTACGCTCTACTGGCTTTCCGATAGCGGTAGAAGCTTCTGTTTATGCTTCGTAAATAATTACTTTATAAGAACAATGTATAATTGAACATGTGCGCTGTCGTGCGACGAGTAATGTTTTTTTTTCTTATCTCGAAACGCCATAAATATTATTATACGTGTTTGTACATATTAATCAGTGTGAAATTTGCATTTGAGATAAGACGACACAACAAACACACACTAAATATTGTTATGTCACATGGTGTAAATATGATAACGTGTGATCGTCGTTAAACACCACTTATTGGATAATATGTGACGTTATTGCTGTATTCCATCAGAGTAGAGAGAAAATAACAAATATTCTATTGCGTTGCACTGACCACGAGTGTGTGCAACGTTAATATGCGCAAGCGTAATTAAGGTAACAAGGGAATTCAGTAAGTCTAAAACATCGGAATATTAATTGAAACAAACTGAAGCCGGTAAATGTACTTTTATATGTGAAGTTTACATTATATATACAAACTGTGCGGCCAAGTGTACATCGGCTGTGTACGTAAGAAAGAATGAATTATAATGAGTTTTTTTTTGCTTGTACTATAATTAGCAATCAGAAATTACGGAATTTCGGATTATTTAGGTGTATTTCGTCATAGTTTGCGTTGCCTTGACGGTGATTAACGACGAACCCAGGACAGGTGGTAAGGAATAATTAACAATGATCAGCGAACGGATCTGAAACAATGAAGTTTCTTGGCGTTGTTCAATGAACTGAATGAAGCTCCATACTGAGCAGAGCAGAATCGCGCGGATTAACTAATATAACCGATTTTGGCCAGCATCCACTCAGCGACCAATCAGCGCGTTTATAATTTAGACAGTACTTTGCAAGTATTCTATCAATAGTTAAAGATTTATTTTAATTCAGTGATTTGCAAAATCAAATCGTATGATATTTGACAGTAGTCACGTGACCCACATTAAATATTAGTGCATTCCATGACAACATGCGTGCGTCCTGGAGTGTGAGCCGGCGCATCGTGCTGTTCGCAGCCGCTGCTGACCTAATTCCTCTACTTTTAGTGCTCGCACTCAGTTTGCCGATTTATTGGCGTATACAGTTGGTTTTCGCTAACAATCTACCCCTAAATCCAATGCTTGGTTATGCCATCCCTTGCGTACGTAACCTGGCAGCTTGTTAGGCATTATAACCTGACCATTATTTACTTAGGGAAAAGTTACGTATACTTACATTTATCGGCCAGCACATAACTGTCTGAATGATCAAGGTTTTCGTTGTGCGCCATTAAGTTAAGCGGCTGAATGGATGTGTTGCTGTGTATATTGTTCTGGAAAAGAGCATGGCGAAATGCGCTCTGTTCTTGTGACGGATGAGCGTTATACATCCCTCCTACAAGATAATACAGACAAATAAACAAAAATAAATATTATTCTAGGAATATAGTATTTATTAACAGCATATATTGACGGCAGACAGATAGACAGACAGCGATAAAAGACAGGGGCCACAGAAGTCGGTCATTTGCATATGACGTGCTACGCGTCAGTTGGTTTTGAACTTACTCGTTATTTCCGTTATAGTACACAGTTGTAGGTATTTGCGAAATGATGAATGACTGGCATCCCACCGAGAGTCTAATTAACACTCTTATATTTATTGTTCCTCTCTACGTGCAAGTGTTTTATTTGGCCAAAGATAATCACCCCGCGTTGTTTCCGCCATTCTTTCCGAGATAGCCCCAGGGACAATACATATAATTCAGCACTAAATTATTGTTATATGTTACTTAATGGATCGAATGATTTACGATTTTACGGTAACTCGGCGATTCTGTACTTGGATGCAATTTGCAACAATAGAAACATTAGTATTGTACGTTTACTATATATTATAAACAAGTTGTTCGATTTTTGCGCATTTTGGTATATAAAATGCCGCGTGTGTCTATTATATGACTCCGTTTGCTCCATCATATCACACAATTCTTCAACCTCGGAAACTAGATCGAGTTTTTATTCAGACTGACTACCAGAGACAGCTGCTGGTTCTGAAATCCCTGAGAATAACCCACAGAGACATTACATATGCAAATATATGCAACTATTACCAATATGATATAAACTCATGTAACCTATTTAATGACACATGGGCGATCAGGTGGTAATTAACAATGATTCTGTTATTGTTAAATAAACGATGAGGTTCATTATCCACCCGTTATTCGATGTCGACTAAAATTACTCGTCAATTTATTAGACGAAAAATTACAATAAGAAAAAAAAATTATTATGGAATTATTATGACCATGCATATTTCACTTCACCAGCTGAAAATGCAATAATAATCAAAATAGCACAATTTAACCCAAAATTGCTCTATAACTACGTATTCCTATCTCTGTATTAGACTTTCTTTTCATTTTAAGTGAAACCATTTTCATTTTAAGTGGGTGGGGTTATTTTATCTTACTCTCACTGAGTATTTACAAACAGTAACTTAAGCATCTACCCCGAGTCTCGCATCACCATGGCGAACGAGGAACCGGAACGCGCGGCCAAAATGATGGGCGATTTTCAGAGCAGAACGTTCAATTGGCAGCTGAGAAAAGTACGCCTGACATCTCCAATTAAAGGCACAAATGAACATTATAATGTATATTGCGGAGTATAGTACATAATATAAGTCCCGCTAATTAAAAATTGGACGGACACGTATCTGTAAATACGTTCCCATAACCTCGTTCACAACTAAGCATAACCCTTATTTTATTACTTGTTTTGTCGTAAATTTCCGTCTTTTAGGAGGTAAAGAGTAAAACTAGCGGCACCCAAAGTACCGTCTAATCAAGAAAAGATAGGCGAACTTTTTACAGACATTTATTATTAATGATTATTGTGAAATAGTTGATAATACACAAGCTTACTTAATAAAGAATGTGTGCCTTCAAGTCACCAACAGGGCCGAGTCTGCCATTATTCAGGGACCCCTCTTATCAAGGAAGAATGAAGCGACAGAAACATTGTAAAGAATAACATGGTTATTCCCCGACTTCTATCATAACACTGAAACACAAATTTATTCGTTTATTATTTTATAACCAACGTGACCAGAACCGTAAAATTGTGGTACGTGCCAGTCATTTTAATTATTTACTCGTAGAAATAAAAATACATGCATTTTGTCATATTCCTCTGGGACGGGAAACCTATGCATTTAGTCAGTCAGTCAGTCAGTCAGCTTCTGGAATTTTCCCGGGACTCGGTAGTTTACAGCCTATCGTATTAAAGTAAAGCTTGTTCATGATGAAATGTTTATTTTGTGAGTCTAGAAAATGACCATGTTAGTCTCTATTATTTAGCAATTTTCGGCGATCTACGAGAAAATACTTTCAGAGCAGATGCCGATATAGTACCCACTGTGTTAATATGCCAGTATAAATGCCCCCACTTTGCTCAGAGCTAGCGTCGTACCCAGTGGGATTATGAAAGCTTTAATACAGAAAGGAGCCGTCGTCACGGTGGTACTGAGAGCAATGTAGCCTGCGATGACAAAAAGGGCATTCCGTCACATAGTAAGAACGGACTTAGGCTATTTTCAATTTTCACGACATCGATAACATTTTGAAATAGATGTACGAGAGATTAGGAAATGCATTCCCCACAATGCACTGTCCTACATTCATCACTGTCACCAAAGTCTTGTTCGATTTCAGGTGGCAACACCATGTTTTAATGGCTGGCGTGCAATCAATTAGACGACGTGAAAACTAAAAATATTTTGATAAAAACGGACAAAATTAATTTTCCGAAGTAGAAGTATACGGATTTGTTTTTATTGTAAAATAATGGCCACTTATTATTTCTCAAAAAAACCCCTCTGTAAATGACTTTAATTAGCGTGCACGGTTAATGATAGGTTTTACCTCAACAGTAATTGTCCTATTATTAAGGGCCAATGTTTCGATCAATAAAGTACATACATACAAGTTCAGATGGATGTTCTCTATTCTGATACTCTTGGGACAAGATGGTTTACTCTCAGCGTTGATCGCGACCTTTTGGAAGTGTGTAACTCTAAGACCTGATAGTGTGATTCATACAATATGTGATAATTATTGTTATATATAAATATATAAACTAGAACGAACTCCAATATGATTTATTTCGAATGTAATTTGCTCAGCAATTATCCATTACCACAAATACGCGACTAGAATCTCTCGTAAATTGCAAATGGATATTCTGCTCTATCGCCAACAAATAAGAGTATGTACGTGCTACCGATATCTGAGTGCCCAGTTCTATCCAGAACGCTTTTAGTTTGTCGGTTTCATACCAAGAGAAATGTACAGGGCGGATGTTAATTCCGGCTAGTTTGACCGGGGAATACGTCACATGTGTTTTCTCTGTCATATATTCTATGTAAAAAGGTAGCCAATGAGACTTGAAGCGGGTGACATTCTGAGAAATTGACTACTCACCTATAAGTACCGCGTCGTCTGATATAGCCAGCACTTTAGTGAGAAAAGTTAGGCAAAGACAGCTAAAAGGAGTCCACATTCTACCTTCAAACTCCATTAGATCAGCCTGTATTATGGCAGCACCTGGCTATTTGTCCTATACACATTTCCCGCTGATGGCTTGTGTTGGCCTCCCGGGAGACTCGTGCTTCGTTCTTGTCCTAACTCAATCTACACAGCTCACTGGGCTCTTCGTGCCGAGCAAGCGCAGTGGACGTCATGAATATTGAGTAGTTTGATAACGGAGTCTCTTCTTTTGCCTGGTGTCTCCTGGTAATTTTCTATCGGATTTACAAGAATACTTATCTTAGTCAGTTATCGCTCCCTCTGTGATTTATACATCCATGGATATAACAGAGATATCGACGTACACAAAAACACATTAGGCACTTGATTCACCAACGCCAAAATAAATAGTTACACGCACACACAGTTCGTTCACCAGTCAGTGCATGGCAGACACAGCCCAGTGACTGACATCGCCGATAACGCTGACACTATTTTGTTCGAGCATTCCGTTCTGCGCATCTTGTTTGAATGCGCGGGACACAGAGGGGATCATTTTACGAGATGTGGGGAATGCTCGTTCATGAACAAGTCATTATGATGTACATCAATACTCGTTGCCAAAACATTACAATAAAATTGTAACGGCTGATGCTTAAATAATATAAAAAAGGGACTTCATTATAATTACAACTACCTATGTATGTTTCCGGCCTCGATTCGAGTCACTGGAATAATTCGTATTGTTTTATTTTTAGTCGTTAAGTGGACAGATGAGTCATACCCGTCTGTATTTCAATGAAACATTTCAAATATAGTAATATAAATCCACAAACTGTCATAATTTTTCATATTTTAATTATCGCGATTTTTTGAAATGTCAATATTTAAATCAAACGCACCACTATTGCGCACAACGATTCAATGCCCAATCTCAATAAGAAGGTCCTCGGTTTCATCACAGCAAAATGTTATTGGCTTGTTAATAATAAGAATAATACTGCCCTTATGTTTTGACAGTGAAATTATTGTCACATTATTTTTTTTTTAATTCCATTATATCAATTTCAAGGTCAACCGATGTCAAGATGTAGTATGCTACAACATTATTAAAATGTAAGTCTTAGACTAAGACAGTATCTTCTTTGTCGACAATATCAAGATTCTCTGTATACCAACCGCCATGTGAGCGTAATAACCCACCGCTTTCAAATAATCATTGGGATGTAAAGTACACTACGGTTAACGAGTATTAGTCCTTTCCATAACTCAATAAACCCACTTAAAACTACAGCATTTTATGCATTTGTCGTGGATTCTAGTTAATATTTACGCATTGACACAAAACTCCGTTGAATATAAAAACACCGGGTCACATCTAGACGACGACTCTCGTATACACAGCCTTTTTCAAATATTTGATTTACAACAAAAAATGCCCGGGGCTTTTAAGATGGATATTTGCGATATGATAAATTAATAATACATTTCAGCCGCGGGGTAAGCATGATATAATTCGAGAAAAAAAAAACACTAGTAATTATTTTTTTTAGAATGTAGTGCGTATTTAAGACTAGGAATGGATATGCTCATCAGTCTGTTAAGTAAACATAAA